TTAACCACTACACCACTGGGCCGGCCCCTGGAATTATGTTTTGTTTTGTTTTGTTTTTAAGATTGGCACCTGGGCTAACAACTGTTGCCACTCTTTTTTTTTTTTTTCCCCTGCTTTATCTCCCCAAACTCCCCCTGTACACAGTTGTATATCTTAGTTGCAGGTCCTTTTAGTTGTGGGATGTGGGATGCTGCCTCAACGTGGCCTGACAAGCGATGCTATGTCCGCACCCAGGATCCGAACCCTGGGCCACCACAGCAGAGCGCGTGAACTTAACCACTCGGTCACGGAGCCAGCACCTGGAATTATGTTTTTTAAAGCTTACTTATTTAACACCGTAGCATGAGCAGATTTCCATGTTAATAAATATCTTCTACTCTATCATTCTTAAAGGCTGTGTAAATAGGCCATTGTGTGGCTATACCCAATCCCCTGTGGTGTTTCACTAGTTTAAAAATGCTGCACTGGAGTTGAAACTGTTCACCCATCATTTAGCATAAATTCCTAAAATTGAAATTGCAGAGTTTACATGTGTTTAGTTCTGGTACCTGTTGTCTGACCATTTTCTCTTATGTCTCTCTTTTTTTTTCTTTTTTTGAGGAGGATTAGCCCTGAGCTAACATCTGCTGCCACTCCTCCTCGTTTTGCTGAGGAAGACTGGCCCTGAGCTAACATCCATGCCCATCTTCCTCTACTTTATATGTGGAACACCTACCACAGCATGGTGTGCCAAGCAATACCATGTCCACACCTGGGATTAGAACCGGCAAACCCCGGGCCGCCGAGAAGCGGAACGTGTGCACTTAACCACTGAGCCACTGGGCTGGCCCCTCTTGTGTCTCTTTGTCTCGGCTCTCTCTTTTTCTCCTCCTCATCTTCTTGGTCTGGGATAAGGATGGATTCTTCTGCTTTGATTTCATTTCTCCTCTTTCTCCAATTTTCAGCAGGTTTAGGCTGCCCACTTGCCTTTTACTGTCTGACTCCGTCTAGTTTATCTTGGTATCTGTGTGACCTCTGTGGGTTTGCTTTTCTCTCTCCGTTATGCTCTAGCTAGAACACCCTTGAGTTTGGTGAGCCTCTCCCGTTTGTTAAGCCGCCTTGATCCTTCCATGTACGCACGTTTGCGTGTGTCTGTATACACGTGCATGCGGAGATGTACCTGCTAGTCTTACAGTCTTCCTGAGTGTAAGGCCGTTTGCATTGTTTTTTCCCTCTGTCCTAGAGTGTAGGCTGCGGGGAGCCATTGAGGCTCAGCCTTGCAGGCTGGGTACCATGCTGCTAGTTTCTGGCTGGGATCCCAGTAGGTTAATGTGGAGCAGCCCCATTCTGGGATATGGGATATGGAACTGTGTGAAGCCTTGGCTCCTTGTCAGCTTGGGGAGATAATTCTGTGGCAGCTCGTCCACATCCCTCTCCCTTCGTATGAAGAAGCAGAAAGGTTCTATCCTTCACACAGTGCTTTGTCATTCCTCTACAAGGATTTGGGTGTGGTTGGGGGGTAAACTCTTGGTTTCCTGGGCCCTCTGCATACCCACCTGTTAGCATATTGTCCACCTCTCTTGTATCAAATGTTTTTCATCCAGTGTAGAAGTCTTTCTTACACCCTGCAAAACTAAACAAACATCAGAATAACATATTTATGTTAGCTATTGTTTGTTAATCATCTATTCTGTGCTGAGCCCTGTGCTAGACACTTTACATTTTATTAGATCTCTTAGCAGCCCTATAAGATACATATTATTCAAGTTTTATAGATAAGAAACAAAATTCAGAAAGGTTAAGTGGCTTGCCCAAAATCACACAGCTAATAGGTACCCAATCTGGAATTCAAGCCTAGATCTTTCCCAACTTCAAAACTGGAGATGTTGTACTTGAGATTTTTTTACGTGAATATATGAATATATTTCTCCTCACCTTTTCTGGATGACAGAAATGGAGCCCTGATTTAAGGCAAAGGAATAGACTAAAATAATTCTTAAAGTTTTAGCCAGCCATCAGATTCCATAGAAAAAACTCAGCCCTTTCCGGGTTACAGGTCACAGTTTACTCTTGTATGCAATCTTTTTTTTTTAAAGATTTTATTTTTCCTTTTTCTCCCCAAAGCCCCCCGGTACATAGTTGTATATTCTTAGTTGTGGGTCCTTCTCGTTGTGGCATGTGGGATGCCGCCCCAGCATGGCTTGATGAGCAATGCCATCTCCGCTCCCAGGATTCAAACTGACGAAACACTGGGCCGCCTGCAGCGGAGCGCGCAAACTTAACCACTCGGCCACGGGGCCGGCCCCCGTCTTGTATGCAGTCTTGTCATACCATTGCTGTCAGTGTACAGAGTAGATTCTCTTTCAGACTTTAGTGTACCTGGAGGAGATCTTGAGGAACTCCAGAATCTGATTTAATAGGCCAACGGAGGGACCTGAGCTTTGTTTCTGACAAGCTCCCAGGTGCTCCTGTGAATAGCAAGGGTCTAGATCAGTGGTTGTTAAACCCAGGCCATCAACAGATTCATCTGGAGATCTGTGAAAAAATTCCATTTTAGTGGCCCAAAACTCCAAAATTTCTAATTGGAAGAGTTTTAGGGTAGGGCTGGGCGTTGTTTTTATTTTATAAAGAAGAAAAAAGAAAAAAAAAATCCCGTAAGTTATCGTGATAATCAGTCTGGGAATCACTGGTCTGGAAGCTAATGTGTTATGGATGCATTGTTCCACACAGCACAAACATGTGAGTGAACAGTTAATTTTGCTTCATTAAACTTGGGAGGGGCTATCTTAGTTAGAGGTCATTTGTTTAGAAGGGTAAGAGACCCACTCATGTGTTGGAAGGGTTTGTTCGTAAAACCCAAGAGCAGGAAATATCCCTGGATCTCAGAAGGAAACAGAGCTAGGAATTGGAAGGCCACTAGGAACCAAGGATGTCCATGCCTCCTCTCTTCTGTTTCTTTTTCTCTGGGGACTGGCTTTGGTAGAAAATGGCCACACAGGAAGTTTGGTCTAGTGCCACCATCTAGTTCCATGCTCCTGAGAGAATTTTAATGACCCAGTCCAGTCTAGCCTCTGGACTGGTTCTCCCTGAGACGCGGGGCCGCCCTTGGACAGTGCTGTCATCTGGAGATCTTGGCTTATGTCAAACAGACAGCTGCAGGGCCCCACTTTGAGTGCAGGGATCTGGGGGCACGCTAACATCGTTGGGCAGGCTTCTGAGAGGTGGCTACTACAGGTGTTCACTAGGTAGCTTTGCGTTGTTGGGGCAGGGTTATAGAACCAAATAAGATAAATCCCGTGCTCTTGGAATTGGAGGGCATTATTAATGGGGAAGAGAGACAAGTCAAGATTTTAAATTAGTATGATATGGTCTGAGTGTTATGGGTAGCAGGGTATCTTTGGAGCCTACAAGAGAGGAACTTAACCAGCCTGGACATTTAGGGAATATGGAGAAAGGACATGTCTAAACTGAATTGTGTATGTTGGCCAGGTAAAGAAAAGAGAGGAAGGCATATCTGGCCTTGTAAACAGCATGAGCATGAATCAAAATAGTTATATTAAATTGAAGATTTTTGTGTGCCTAGTAGTTAATAAGCAGTTATTTCTAGAGCATTAGGTCCATGGCAGGACGTGAAACTAGAGAGATTAGTACGGACCAGATTGAGGTGAGTCTTGATTCCATGCTAAGGAGCTCAGATTTAGGGGAAGGGGAACCATTGCATGTTTTTTAATTGACATGAGAGGATTTCCATGTTTATGAAAATGACTGATTATAGTGTGGAGAACAGTTTTGATGGTAGTCTTGCTTGAAGGCACAAAGACCATTTGCAGTAGTCCAGAGAAGAGGTGATAAGGGTGAGGATGGAGAGAAAGGAGCTGACTGAAAGAATATTTAGGAGGTAGGTTTGGCAGGACTAGATTGATTATGGGAATGAGGGAAAAGGAAGAGTCTAGGATAAAACTCAGGCTTGGCGACTGGGGAGAGTGTGGTGGCGTTAGATGGACACACTGAGTTTAAGATGCCTGTAGGACACATCGGCAATGGTGTCCGTTAGGCAGGGAGTCGGCCTTAGGTAGTCGTCAGGGTTACATTGCAGACGCAGTAGTGGTTGTCCCCCCAACTCCACCTCCTTTTTAGAATTTTTCCTCAATCTCTGCCTGGCACTCCTGTTCCAGCCTATTCCTCCTTTCCTTTTTATCTTTTAAATGTAAGGCTCATCTAGTCTCTCCTTTCATAGATCTCCTTCCTATGCCAGCAGTAGGGTTCTTTATACAAAGATTTCACATGATTTGGCTTCATCACGAGAATTGCTGACAGGATTTTAAATCAACCTCTTAGACTATAAGGTGTATGAGGGCAGAGGTTATTTCTCTCTTGTTCATAGTTACATTCCTAGTACCTAGAACAGTACTTGGCATTTACTTAGTACTGAATGAGCGAATGAATGGACGAATGAACCATTGAATCACATAAAGAGCTTCATAATCTGTCGGGAATGCCCTTTCTCTAATACTGATCTTTTCCATAAAACATTTCTCCGAGTTGAATCTTGGAGAGTGAAATGGGGTTAGGTTGGTAAAGAAGTGGAGGAGAATGTTCCAGGGAGAAGCAGCAGCATGAGCAGAGGCCTGGGGGCACAGAGCAGAATGGTGGGTGTGAATGAGACCAGCAGTGAGATATTATAACTCTTGTCCTGTGTCTCAGGCCCCCCCAGCAAACCAAGTGATATTCACGGATACTTTAATAGTGGTTGTGATGTGTTCTGGGAATTGTGTTTTGTTTATAAGTTTCTATGCGTGTGTAGATAACATATATAAAATATGCTTGAACTGGCAGGAAATCTTTAGTCAGGTTTAGTTCACTAGTAGCCCTGACCATGCCTTTAGTAATTCCCAGGGTCTAGCGTGTAGTAGACATTAATTAAGTGTTTGATGCATAATTGAGTGAATGGATGTTTGTACCAGGGTCACTCACATGACTGAGAAACTGTGTTCAGCTTCTGTATCCCTTTTCTCTTGTAGCTATTTGTAGTGGATGTCCAGACAAGCCAGATCACCAAGATTCCCATTCTGAAGGACCGAGAACCTGGATGTGTGACCCAGCAGGGCTGTGGTATCCATGCCATCGAGCTGAATCCCTCTAGGACACTGTTAGCCACCGGAGGAGACAACCCCAACAGTCTTGCCATCTACCGGCTGCCTACGCTAGATCCTGTGTGTGTGGGAGATGTAAGTTTCCCCAATAATTGTAGTTAGAAGTAGCCTTGTTTTTAAACAGAGCTTGGCAGGTAACATGGATCCTCCTCCCATAAGCCCCCTGGGGAGGAGTGGTTTCCTCTAGATTTCTGCTGACTCTAGGGACTTGGGAGTGAGGTGTGGGGGTGGAGATATCAGAATGGGGACTGAACTTTCCATCGGGAGTATCCAGCGTGTTGACAGAGCGTGTTTTTGGTAAAGGGGCCAGCAGCAGTAGGTTGGTGTTTGAATCCACAGTGTTCACACATCTCCCACTGTCTAAAGTCAGAGAGCCAAGTTTATTAAATCATTCGTTCAGCAACTATTTATTGAGCCTTCCATAGCCAGTTGTTTTAGACACTGGGGACATAGCAGTGAATAAAACAGATAAAGCCCCCACCCTCTTTTTTTTTTTTTTTAAAGGAAAATTAGCCCTGAAGCTAACATCTGCTGCCAGTCCTCCTCTTTTTGCTGAGGAAGACTGGCCCTGAACTAACATCTGTGCCCATCTTCATCTGTTTTATATGTGGGAAGCATGCCACAGCATGGCTTGGTAGGCAGTGTGTAGGTCTGTGCCCCGAATCCAAACCAGCAAACCCTGGGCTGCCAAAACAGAGTGTACGAACTTAACCTTTATGCCAATGGGCCAGCCCCTCCCCCCACCTTTTTTTTTTGCTGAAGAAGATTCACCCTAAGCTAACATCTGTGCCAGTCTTCCTCCACTTTGTATGTGGGTCGCCACCACAGCATGGCTGACAGTGATGTAGGTCTGTGCCCAGAATCTGAACCTGCAAACCTGGGACCCTGAAGCAGAACATGCCAAACTTAACCACCATGCCGTGGGGCTGGTCCCCAAGCCCCCACCCTCTTAAAGCCTGCATTCTAATGGAGGGAGACATATGAACCAATGTATAAACCATATAAACAATAAATATTTACCAGCAGTATGTCAGAGCGTGGTTAGTGCCATGGAAGGAAGTAAAGGCAGACTAAAGGCATGGAGAGTGTAGTGGAGAATGCTATTTCAGAGGAGAGTCAGGGAAGGCCTCATTGATAGGAATGACATTGAGCGGGGAGATTTCAAGGAAATGAGGGTGCGAGCCATGTTGATGTCTGGAGGAAGAGAGTTCCAGACAGAAGGAACAGCAGAGAGGTCAGTTATAGCTATTGTCCCAGGAAGCAAGGAGGAGAGTGGTGGGATGAAGTTAGAGGGATGCAAGGTGGGTGATTGTGTGTAGGAGTCCCAAATAAGACGTCCAGAGATAGGCGAGAGCTGCGTGTCCACCGGACATGTTTATTGCCCACAGCAGTGCCAGTTCCATTCCAGCTTGGACTCCTCAAGACAGAAGTTAAAGATTGTGGGATCATGCCCTGTGGTTAAGATCATCAGAGGGGCCGGCCCCGTGGCTGAGTGGTGAAGTTCACGAGCTCTGCTTTGGCCCAGGGTTTCGCTAGTTCGGATCCTGGCCGTGGACCTGGCACTACTCATCAGACCATGTTGAGGTGGCGTCCCACATGCCACAACTAAAAGGACTACAACTACAACATACAACTATGTACTGGGGGGCTTTGGGGAGAAGAAGGAAAAAAAAGATCATCAGAGATCAGAGTTGTAATTTTTACAAAGATATTTTCAGTGAGACTTGTATGCTTTTCAAGAATGTGCATTGTGATCTTGATTTTACTAATTTCTTTTTTTTCCTCCCTGTACCTGTCACTCCTTCCTCCCCAAGGATGGACACAAGGACTGGATCTTTTCCATTGCATGGATCAGCGACAGTATGGCGGTGTCTGGTAAAATTGCCCTTTTGTAGGGAGCTTTTGGTGTGGCAGGGAGGGAGAGAGGCTGGAGGGTGAAAAGCATTAGTGATGTGATTGGAGATAGCCCAGTAAGCAGACCATCAAGTAAGATGGCCCAGTAAGCCAGATCTTGCTTCCCATATTGGCTCTTTCTCTGACTTATCACATCATATAAGTTATTTCTCCTGTGTTTTCCTGATCTGGAATGTAAAGGCACTGGCATACTTCATTCATTATTCATACTCTGCCTTGTTCCCAAAAGCATGTTAGCATGTTGAGACATTTTGGTGGGGCTTCATTGAGATAATGATTGTGAAAGTGTTTTGGAAAAAGTGATGTGCTCTGCAAAGTATTAGGAGCAATTTCATTTTCTGTACAACTATATAACGTTAAGTTTCTTGAGAAAAGCTGTATAGGATTGGGGGAATTTCTTTCCCAGTGATGGAATAGCTAGGAAAATAACGGAAATGAGTGCAGAGAAGATAACCTAGAGAAACAAAAATGCGTTCTCGATACCCACAGCAGCCTAGAAAGTGGGCTCAGAGTGCTAACCCACTTTGCTTGATACCCATATGTAAAAATACAATTCCCCATTCCAGATTCCCAAATAAAAATAATTATAATAGTTGCTTAATTAAGTAATTCACTTATAATCCTCAAAACAATGCTAGATTTGTATTATTAGCCTCATTTCACAAATGAGAAAATTTAGATTCTGAGGGGTTATTATAACTTGCCAAAGGCCACACAAATAATGAGAAATGGAGACAGGATCTGAATCCGAGTCTGATTTTAAAGCCCGTGCTTAGAACTGCAGCTAACAAAGCTAAAGGAACATAAATATTTCTTCTTTGGATTCTTTGCAAGGCAACAAAAAGCAGCCAAGAGGGAAGGTAATCTAATGAACAAACAGTCGAAGGTTAAAATTACCCAGGAAGAGTTCAGAACCTTTTGGATTCCCTGTCATTTGTCTCCCCAAGGAATGAGAGCTCCTTGAGGGCAGAGGCTGAGTCATGTCACCTCTATAGGGACTGTCCCTTTGACAGTAACCCACACTAAATTTGGTTGATGGGAGCTAGGCCTTGGCTTTGTTTTGGGAGCCTCCCATCTCTTCTTTCAAATACCTCGCTAGTGTCCTATGTTTTCAGGCTGACAACTCCCAAGTCTTGAACATCTTCTGAACATTATAGCAGGTTTTGGGGTTTTTTGTGGGTGGTTTTTGTTTGTTTGTGTTTTTTTTGTTTTTTGTTTTTGCTGAGGAAGAGTTTCCCTGAGCTAACAGCTGTTGCCAATCATCTTCCTTTATTGCTGAGGAAAATTCACCCTGAGCTAACATCTGTTGCTAATGTTCCTTTTTTTTTTTGTATGTGAGCCGCTGCCACAGCATGGCCACTGACGCATGAGTGGTGTAGGTTGCACCCGGGAACCAAACCTGGGCCACTGAAGCAGCATGTGCCAAACTTAACCGCTAGGCCACTGCGACTGGCCCTGTAGCAGCTTTTAAGAACATTGGGTCTGGTAATAGAGACCTGAATTTGAATCCTGGTTCTACACCTTATTAGCACCGTGATCTTGGGCAAGTTATTTAAGCTTTTTGAGACTTGGGTTTCCTCATCAATAACGTGGATAATGATTATATGCACTTCAGAAGTCATTGGGAAGATTAAATGAGATAATATGTAGTGGCTGCCATATTGAAAATGCTTAATGCTTCTTAACCAGTGTTAATGTGCAGATTTAATGATGAGCGTCAACCCATGAACATTCCACCTCAAAATCAGTATAGTCAAACTCATCATCTCCCTTCCAAGACTCACTGTGCACATGCCACCCGCCCCCATTGATGTATGTTGGTGAATGCTCCCTCCTTCCACCCAGGTGCACAGCCCGAGGACTAAGACTTGTCTTAGCTCTTCCATCTCCTTAGATTACCTAGCCATGTTACACTATTTTCCAAAATCTCTCTTATATCCTCAATTTCTTTTCTGTCTTTTCTACTTGAGTGCTTGTCATCTATCTCTTGAGTTACCCCAATATCTTTCCATATTTTCTCTCTGCTTCCAGTCTTATCTCCTCCAATTTAATCTTCCTGTTGCTGCCAAATTAGTTTTTTAAATATTTTTCCTTATTGTAAAAGTAATACTTTTGAAGAAATTTTTTAAATACGGATAAACAAAAAAGGAAACAAGAATTACCCATAATATCCCTTCCCAGAGATAAGCACTATTAACATTTTGAAATATATCTTGCTAGTTTTTTTTTCAGTGCATGTTTTTTAGTTGGTCAAAATAGGATTCATATAGAGGGATGGACATATAGATATGTGATATCGCAAGTATAATAAAATGTTGATGGTAGAATATAGGCATAAGTATACAATTTGTTGTAAAATTCTTTCAGCATTTCAGTATGCTTGAAGAAAAACCTGTGTGGTTTTATTTTTCAGTTTGCATAATAAACCACGTGTAGTTCTGCAGATGTACCCTTCTGTCTCTGGCCTTTTATAGACTTCACACATGATGGACTCTCTGCTTTGAACCCCTGCACACAAGCCTTATGATGCAAATAAATTGGATGATATTTCTCCCATGTTAGCCAATTTTTACTCTGAAGCATTCAGGAGATTTGCAGTGTGGGAAGGGCACGTTCTCGTCTCAAAGGAGAGTTGGCAATAACTTCACTGGAAAAGGAATTTTTAAAAAAAAAATTTTTTTTATTGAGTTCATAATAGTTTACATCAATGTGAGATTTCACTTGTACATTATTTCTTGACTGTCACCACGTAAGTGCTCCCCTTCACCCCCTGTGCCCACCCCCACACCCCTTCCCCTGGTAACCACTGAACTGTTTTCTTTGTCCATGTGCTTGTTTATATTGCACATATGAATGAAATCATCTGGTGTTTGTCTTTCTCAGACTGGCTTATTTTGCTTAGCATAATTCCCTCTAGGTCCATCCATGTTGTTGCAAACGGGATGATTTTGTCTTTTTTTCTAGCTGGGTAGTATTCCATTGTATATATATACCACATCTTCTTTATCCAGTCATTGGTCAATGGGCGCTTGGGGTGCTTCCACGTCTTGGCTATTGTGAATAGGGCTGTGCTGAACATAGGGGTGCATATGTTGCTTTGGATTGTTGATTTCAAATTGTTTGGGTAGATACCCAGTAGTGGGATAGCTGGGTCTTATGGTAGTTCTATTTTTAGTTTTTTGAGGAATCTCCGTACTGTTTTGCATAGTGGCTGCACCAGTTTGCATTCCCACCAGTAGTGTATGAGTGTTCCCTTCTCTCCACACCCTCTCCAACGTTTGTTATTTTTAGTCTTAGTAATTGGAAAAGGAATTTTAAAACAGGATTTTTTAGTGGTTCTTGATATTCTGTTTTCTGGCAGTCCTATTGCTGGACGTATAGATTGTTCTGAATAAACATCTTTGTATGTAGGTCTGTGATAGTGGATTATTCCTAGGTGGGGACACAAACTTTCTGGGGTTTGCCACAGATTTCTCAGTTGTACTCTAGAAAGATGGTCCCATTTTTAGGTTGCCACTAGTAATGTATTCAGGGCTCAGTTCACAGAGAAGTGTTCTTAGTTTTTTGAGTACTTCATTATTGTTTGCTAAGGAAAACTCTTTCTCTTCTTAAGCATTCATTTTATGTAGAACAGTCATTCTTAATATGGGGATTGTGGTTCCTCTGGGTCCGTGGAAAGCCTTCGAGAGGCCCATGAACCTCCCTGAAATTGAATGTGCAATGTGGTATTTTTGTGTATTTTCTAGAGAAAGGGGTCTTTAACCTTCATAAGTCTCTCACGGGAGTACAGATCTCAGAAAAGTTTAAGCAGCACTGATCTAGAGTGGAGCTTCCCAACCCTCCTGCCCAGTACAAGTTACCTACGCCTGCATGCCCAAGTGACCCATGCGTTTGGTTTGGAAAGTTACTGAGCTTTATCAAACTGTATAAAACTCACTTTTGAAAAATCCCACCAACCATGTTATGCTTGAAGGTTATATATATATATATATGTATGTTATATATATATATAATTTTTTTTTTTCTGCTGAGGAAGATTTGCCCTTAGCTAACATACATGCCAATCTTCCTCTGTTTTTTAGTATGTGGGCCGCCAGCACAGCATGGCCGCTAATAGAGCCGTGTAGATCTGTGCCTGGGAACTGAACCCCGGCTGCCAAAGCAGAGCATGCCAAACTTAACCACTGGGCTGCTAGGGCTGGCCCTAAAGGTTATATTTTAACTCCTAGACCTTATTTGAATCATCCCCTTGGTGTAGCTGTTGAAATGCGTACTGCTCTCTGTTTTGAGGTGAGCCACCTGACCAGATTTCAGCACATATGAGGGTGATGTATAAACAGCTAGACTAAGAAAGCCCATCTTGGCTTCTGTGGGACTGTCACGTGGAGAGTTGGGTATGTCTGACATCTGTGGTCTCCCTGTCTTGCAGGCTCACGTGATGGTTCTATGGGACTCTGGGAGGTGACAGATGATGTGTTGACCAAAAGTGATGCAAGGCACAATGTGTCACGGGTCCCTGTCTACACTCACATCACTCACAAGGCCTTAAAGGACATCCCCAAGGAGGACACAAATCCTGACAACTGCAAGGTTCGGGCTCTGGCCTTTAACAACAAAAACAAGGTATGAGCTTGCCAATGTATCCCAGAAGCCTGTTCCTCTCGCTTCAGCTTCTTGGCTTATGCACTTCCTTTCGCCCTCCCCAAGTCAGTGCTTGCTGCTTAGCTTGGTTCTGTGCCCAGAGCACCTCCTGAAGGCTGAGGGGTGCTGGTGAGAAATTATAAGTGAGGTTAGGAAACCCACCCCTTGGGCTGAGCTCTGCAGTATTTCTCTGGATGATCCACATTTGTGGGTCAGCCTCAGAGTCCCCCAGGGCCACTCTGGTTAGACTCTGTCTCATTTGCACATGCCTTTGCAGGTGCTCTGTTCTGGGTGTGATTTTCATATTTGCCTCTGAAAGCAATCACTTTTTTCTCTTTGATATTCAGTTTCTTTTAATTCTTCATTGCCTCTTCTCAACACTGCCAGCAGGTCCTACCTAATCATTGCGTCAGATCTCCTGAAACTGGGGTATAAAGTAGAGTGTTGGGCTGGAGACACAGAGCCAAAAGAGCAGAAAGCCTTCCTCCAAAATCTGAATGAGACCCCAATTTGAAGGGTAGTTCCTTTAGCTTCCTATCTCCTATCATATTTATGGCTTAGCGATAGACTTAGCTCTCCTAGCTTAGACCCTCCACTTATAAAAGCTCTGATGCCGAGACTTTTGAAACTGTCCATGTGTGTGCTGTGCTCCAACTATCCGACAGGATGTCATGGGAATGGTTGCAAGTAAGGACTCTGATCTATGGGTTTGTACATTATGGGTTGTCTCAAGAAGCAGGCTTGATTTAATATACTGTCCAGCCGCATTCCATAGGGTGAGATGATAGGCTGATAATGCCTGGCACCCTGCTGCAGTCATCATGGGATAGGAGTGAAGAGTGTGAGGATCCCGACCTTCAGGGTCCTCCGCTGCTCACTGTTGTCTGTTAGTTGCTACAGATTGGAATATAACCTGTTTTTCATTGCTTTTTTAGGAATTGGGAGCAGTATCTCTGGATGGCTACTTTCATCTCTGGAAAGCTGAAAATACACTGTCTAAGGTGTGATGAACATGTGTCAGTGGTTTTACCTAAAAACTCACCTTATGCTTAAAATACTTTAATTCTCTCTAAGGCTTTTCATTCTTGAGTAAGGCACCAGTTCGCCAAGAGTCTGGGCACGTGATTGCTCAGTGCCTGAACTTCTGAGTCTGGCCTGCCTCTCTTGAAGAAAGTCTCTTAAAGAGATCAGAGGGGCGACTCTTTGGTGTTGCGAGGGCTTGCTTGGCGGCTCCTTTGACCAGCAGTCCTCCAGTCCACAGCACTTTGAAGCCTTTGTGTGTGGATTATTGACTACCTGCATGTTGTGAGAGCAGGAGAACCTAAATGCTAGGAACCACTGCAACTGCAGATCAATTAAATTAGGACAAACCATCTCTGAAATAATTGTGTAAGGTAATGAGAAAATGGATTTAGTTTACAAGCACGTTTTGCGTAAAGTTAAACCTGCCTGTGGATCATTTGCCCTCTTCTTGTCCCAGAGGCCTTTGCTGCTTCTTACTTTTGTGATAGACTCTTTCTCAAGAGGAAGCAGAGCCCCGGAAGTTATTCATTCCTTCAAGTCACGGCAGCCTTTGAGCTCCACTGGCCTTGTTTGGTTCCTTGCATGCAGTGGGCACCCACTGAGGATTGGCTGAGTGACAAGGATCCAGGGCTAAGGCTGACTGGGGTTGTCTGGGTTTGAGCCAGTCCCAAGCGTGTGCTTTCTGTAGTGTACAACTCTCATACAATTAGAGACTTAGGCTGAGGGTAGCCAGAGATCCGTCCCTTTATCTGAAGAGCAGTGAGGAAGGTGGTGGCGCTTCCTGGCAGAGAGAACAGAGTGGGACCTTGGCTTTAGTGCCCTGGATTTATCCCTGGAAACGTCCTGTAGGTCTTGGTCCTTTGCTCTGCTTGCGATTATTTAATTCCAGCTTGACCTTTTTCCCTAACCAGTCTTCTTCACTACCTTGATCTCCTTGTTTATTATGGTCACCCTCTCTTTCTCTTACGCACCTGAGGGTGGAGCAGGGCGTTATTTCCTTAACTGGGGCTTGTCTTTCTGTCTCTGACTGTGTGGCTGTGTCTGAGGGAAGCCCGCAGAGGTGGGCATCTAAGAACAATGCCCTGCTGCGTGCTCTCTGCTAACGCCCCGGGTGCCTCTCTCCTCTCTGTTTTCAGCTCCTCTCCACCAAATTGCCCTATTGCCGTGAGAATGTGTGTCTGGCCTATGGTAGTGAATGGTCAGTATATGCAGTGGGCTCCCAAGCTCACGTCTCCTTCTTGGATCCACGGCAGCCGTCGTACAACGTCAAGTCTGTTTGCTCCAGGGAGCGAGGCAGTGGTAAGAGTCCCAGGGTGCCCCTCAGGCTTACATCTGCCTTGCCCTTGGGTTTTGACCTTCAGTTTCTATGTTGGTTTCCAAATAAGTATCCCGATATTTATGGAAGCTGATAGAAGTGTTTGGTGACACAAGAGGGGAGCTTCAATGCCAGCAGAGCTTCAAACACCACAGACAGATACGTGGCCACAGAAGCCCTTGGTGGAAACCAGCAGTCAGGATATTGGTGGTTTCCATGTTCTTTCACAGAGCCCTACTTTCTCTCCTGTGGTAATTTTTTGCTGGGGCCCTGCCTGGAGTATAAAATTCATTTTTTGCTAAGGGTTGGCATGACGGGGTGAGGAGGAGTTTACAAAGAAGCATGAGGAAAGTTTTGGGGTGATGAATATGTTTGTTATTTTGATTGTGTTACAGATATATATATATATGTTAAAACTTATTTATATAAATCGTATACTTTATGTTTATACTTTTTCAATTTTATTTTTTATGAGGAAGATTAGCCCTGAGCTACCATCTGTGCCAGTCTTCCTCTACTTTGTACATGGGATGTCTCCATAGTATGGCTGATGAGTGGAGTAGGTCTGCACCCAGGGTCCAAACCCGTGAAGCCCAGGCCACTGAAGCAGAGTGTGTGAACTTAACCACTACACCACCAGGCTGGCCCCTAAATTATACACTTTACATATGTGTAGTATATTGTATGTCAGTTATACCTCAGTAAAGGTGAAGGAGATTTTTTTTTTTTGAGGAAGATCAGCCCTGAGCTAACATCTGCTGCCAATCCTCCTCTTTTTGCTGAGGAAGGCTGGCCCTGAGCTAACATCTCTACCCATCTTCCTCTACTTTTTTATATGTGGGACGCCTACCACAGCATGGCGTGCCAAGCGGTGCCATGTCTGCACCCAGGATTCGAACCAGCGAACCCCGGGCCGCCGCAGAGGAACGCGAACTTAACTGCTGCGCCACTGGGCCAGCCCCTGAAGGAAATATTTTGTTTAGTTCTGACCACTGGGTGAATTAGTCTTCAGTCTCCCATTGTTTATAGAATATTCTCTATGAGAGCGACCTCATTTTTTATTGAGGAATAAAAAGAGAGACTTATGTTTGTACTGTACTTTAAGATTTCAGAGTCCCTTTATCTGACATCTTATTTCATCTTACTGCCCTGAACTCTCTGAGAAGCAGGTAGGAAAAAAGTGTTAACCCCGTTTTATAGATGAGGAGACTGAGACCCACAGCAGTTAAATAACTTGCCCAGCATCACACAGGTCAGTGGGGGAACGGACAAGGACCAGAATTGGGATCATCCAACCTAACACAGTGCATTTTCTTCTTCATCTCATTTTGTCCCCGTTCTCATGCAAAAATATGGCTGTGTTATCCTGAGAGCCCTAAAAGGCACAATATGGATCACAGTTTAGCCTCATTTTTTCAAGTAGTGTTTATTTTCATGCAGATATTGCAAAAGTGGCTTTTGTTTTGGATTTCTTTTCATTTTAGTTAAGAGACTCCCATTTCAGAACAGAGAGAATAATATGTATAATGTGAGCAGTAAGGGGAGAAGAAATAGGCTTGGCTGGGATGCTGTCTGCAATGGAAAGTTTTAAGAGATTTTGGTTACTGTTACAGGAGTAGCTTTCACACCTAATGAGGAAATACTGATTCTATAAATATTATCGAGCCCCTCTTATGTGCCAAGAGACGTTTTTGTATCCCATGCACAGATGCATCACATGTATCCACAGGTGTAGCAGATGTGTTTTCCCTATGACCCTGAGTGACTAGGTGACTTGTCCTAAACTCACGCTGTGAGTGAGACACAGTACTCCTTTGGGTGCTTCAGTTCTGGGCTGTCTGCCAGCCTCATAACACACTTAATACCAGCCAAAGACCTCTTGCAGTGTCCCGTGGTAGTGGTTTTAGGTCAAATACAAGGAAGTCCTTATTAATGTAATGGTTTGTAAATATAGAGATAACCCTCAGTTTCAGTACAGGTTGGAAACATATAATGGAGAAGAGCTTAGAGTTATGAAAGGTGACTTGAGTGAGTCCAGGGGGGAGTTGGAGAGGTTCAGGGCGCGCTTCTGATCTTAGGCCAAAAGCATCTTGAGCATCATCAGGCGTCAGGCATTTCTCTGAGGGCACCCGGAAGGTTCCTGTTAGTGGATGGGTGGCGGTGGGGCATCATGGTTCTCTGGCTTTTGCATGAGCTACACCTGCCTTGGGAAAGGCATTGGCTGGTATTTGGGGGTGCCATGTGGACTCAGTGTTGGAGAAATTCAGTCTGTTAAGTACGTACTCTCCTTGCTCATTGCCCTCTTCTCTCTCTCAGGGATCCGGTCAGTGAGTTTCTATGAGCACATCATCACTGTGGGCACAGGGCAGGGCTCCCTGCTGTTCTATGACATCCGAGCTCAGAGGTTCCTGGAAGAGAGGCTCGCTGCTTGTTATGGGTCCAAGCCCAAACTGGCAGGGGAGAATCTGAAACTAACCACTGGCAAAGGCTGGCTGGTAAGTAAGCCCCTGCCTGACGTGGTTACTGCACAGCGACAGGAAAATTGTCTTCACTCTGCCTACTCCACCCCCACTGACACACCACCTGCACACATACATTTTCCCTGGTGAGAGGCACTCCTTGGAGCAGAGGCACAGTCCCTTGATCTTGCTTTTGTGTCTGCATGCCCCTGTGAAGACAGGCCCAATAAGACACACTGGCTGGCCCAGGATCCCCTCCGAGTGTAGGAGAGCGGGAAGGAGCAGGGCCCTCCGGGCTGGCAGTGAGTTATTCGAGTTTGGCCCCAGCTGCCCTGAGACCTTGGGTTTGTGCAGCAGCTCCTCAGCCTGCTCGGCCCCTCCCTCGTGCTCAGTTGGAAATGTGAGGCGCTGACTCCCATGAGCACCGTTCTCCTGACGTCAGGTTGTAGATGTGGGGCCTCCCCTTCAGGAGGCCAGAAAGCATTCCTGCCCCTTCTCCCTTCCCGCTCCCTGGCTGGAGGTGCTAACAGAGTCTCTTTCTTTTCTCGTAGAATCATGATGAAACCTGGAGGAATTACTTTTCGGACATTGATTTCTTCCCCAATGCTGTTTACACCCACTGCTACGACTCGTCGGGAACGAAGCTCTTTGTGGCAGGAGGCCCCCTCCCTTCAGGGCTCCATGGGAACTATGCTGGGCTCTGGAGTTAATGACAACTAACTCTCTCCCCAAATGCAGAGATTTACACTAACTTCCATCCTCAGTTTCCTTGTTACTTCTTTTGATTTTTTCCAATTGAGTGAGGCCCTCATATTTTAGTGGGAACACCGGAATTTGCCTTTGGTTCGGGCTCTTGACAGGAAGAAGCTCTTTGCAGAAATCTGAAGTGTTTTTTGTTTGGTTGGTTTTTTCCCTTTTGGTAATCAGAATTTTACTTTACTGTCTTTTTTCTTTCTGGCTTCTCAACCAAACATTGTTGTTAATCCCTGTTTGTGTTTTCTCTTCAAGTGACACGCACTCTTCCCTCTCTGGCTTCTTTAGGCTGACATAGTTGCTCTCCCCCTTACTTCATTCTTCAGAGGTAGGGCCCCTTTATAATTATGTGGTTGCCCTCAGACTTTCTGTGAAAGTTTGGGGGCTGTGTGTGTGTGTGCACATGCGTGTGTGTGCATGAACTTGTGTGCCTGTAAGTACTGTGTGTCACTGAAATTACCTGGAGTGAGGATTACTTGTAATTAAAATATTTATAAAAGAAACAACTTTATTCACAGAGTCCAGCTTTGGGACTGGTCTTTATCTTGTTTTTCAAAATTTAACAGCACTGATTATAGGAAGTAAAAACAGAAAGGAAAACAAACCACCACCAGGATTACACTTTGAGTTAGACTGCACCTTCCTGGGGCTCTCACACCAGGACCCCTCAGTGGCTTGGCCCCTCCCTGGCTCCCGTCTGTGTGGCCCCTAGGCGAGAACATTTGTGCCTGTGTGCCACTTCCATTTCAGCTTCCGTCTGCTTAGCCAGTGGCCACTCCCCTGAAACATCAGGGTCTCCAGCCACACGCAGCTCCGGAGGCTGCAGAAGGCTCGGAAGGGCTTGATAAAGAGAATCCTTATCCCACCCTCTCTCTCCCTCCCCGCAAACAAGACCAGATCTGCTGTCTCAGGGGCCTGGAGCTGGAGGCCTCAAATCTTCTGAGATTCACTTACTCAGACCCCTTGGCTGTGTTTGCCTTTCTTCTCCCCAATGGGTTCTGCGTTTGCATTCTGGATTGAGTTCAGTCCAGGAGGGGGTGGTGAGCAGGGGGTTTATCTGTGTGTAGTGAGTGCTTCATTTCTGCCATGTTCATTCTCTCAATGCGGTGGGGCAGGGGTTGAAGCCACCTCTCCCACTCCGTTGGCTCAGCCCTGGAATGGTGATGGGGTGGCCTACAGCCAGCAACATTGTGCATGTAAAAGCATCCATGTGATTAGTAATTTGTTCCTCCCTTGAACTGTCTGTTTAGTCTGAGGTTTTTAAACTTGCAGGCAACTGACCGACTGATGTCCTGTTATCCCTTGCCTTTTATGCATCATGTTGCAGATAACAGCTGTTCCCAGCCCGAAATTCCTCCTCCATTCTAAGCACATACTCTGCTTCTGTCAACAGCCCATCCTGGGGAAAGGAAATTTGCTCTCCCAGTCATCCTCCTGTGCTCTGGGTGTAAGTGGAGAGATTGGAAAAAAAGCGTGTCTTCTCCTTGTGATGGGGGCTGGCGGGAAGGGGAGACGGCGAGTCTACCTATCTTGGTGGTGCAAGGCGTACACCACAGATTCTAGAATTCTCATCTTCTAACCTAGAGAAGTAGGTGCTATAAACAGGAATTAAGCAAAATGCTGGATGCTGTAGATCTTTTAATCGTCTTAATTTTTTTCTACTGTAAACTACAAGCTGTAGATTTCTTAGTTCTCACAGAACTTCTACCATTTTAAACCGACTTGTATATTTAAAAAAAAAAAGATCTTAAGTAGGATGTTTTGTACTATTGCCAGACCCTCTTCTGTGATGGGTAATAGATTTTATTGTTTTTTGAGATTTTGTTTTCAAAAATGTAGCACTTGACTTTTTGCCAAGTAAAAAAATAAACACTATTCCAGTGCACAGTGGTTTGAGTGAGTGTGTATAGCCAAGAGGCAGCAGGGAAAGGCTGCTTTCACATGTACATGACTGGTTGGAAGGTCAGCTTGGGGGACCAGGATTGATGGGATCAGAAGGGGAACACAAGAGTTCCCTCAAGGTCAAAGGCCCACACACGAACACTAGGACCTGCTTGTTCCTGCTCCCCAGCTCTGGCCCAAGATCAGTTGCTCTGGGATCCAGTTGAGGGTGGCCGTGCCCAGACGGAGTAAGTGTGGTGCTTGAGAAACAACCCAGGCCAAAGATGAGGAGGGGTTGCCAGTCCTTGCTCTGAATGACTTTATGGATTTGAGCAAGGTGACCGGCTCCTTTTACATCAGCCAGGGGTGGTGAGAGGCCCTGTCTGCTTCAGTGGAGGGTGCCCTGAGAATGACCACGGAAGGGGCTGCACAGTGCTCAGGGAACAGGATACCATCTTTTTGAAGTTGGAACCCTAGATCCTAGTTGCCCTTTGTAAGAGGAGGCCACAGCCACCATAGTGAGTGGCGCTCTTCCCGGAGCCTGTTCGTGTCCGACAGAAAGGCAGACGGCTGAATCGTAGCACCCTCCTCAGGCACCTCTGGAAGGCCCATCAGGGCTGGACCACAGAGCCAGGCCAGGCAAGGGGTATTCCTCTGTCACGTGGCACTTGTTCCTTTCCAGAGCAAGTAGGATACAGCTGCCCTTTGCACCTGCCTTAGAGGCTGCCTGGTTTAGAACATGACTCAGACGGGCACCAGGTAGGTACCATCAAAGGCTGCAAGACAGGAACGGGGAGAGGATGAGTTGAAGCGACTGAGAGGACTTCCTAGAGGAGAAGAGCTACATTTGGAAAGGGACTGGAATTAGCCTTTCCCAAAATGGGGTTTTTAGAATCCCCAATCCATGGAACGGTGATTGGTGTTTGCAAAATGTTCCATGGTTAAATTATTTTTGGGACGTGCAGAGTAAAACAAATACTTCTTTACTGCACAGCCTCAGGTTTTTGGTAACTATGAGACTTGTGTTCGTGGAACATACTCAGAGAAAGGTGACAGAGGATGTGGCGTGCGCCTGGCCTCGGCCTCTGGCCTCCATGGAATATTGGCTCTGCTCCCATTTTCCAGCCAGACTTTCCAGTAAAATATGTATCACAGAAGGGCTGTGTGGACTTTGTGGGGTCCCTCCCTTTCCTGCCAGCAGTCCCTACTCCCAGGCCATGAAAGAACTTCCTTGTTTTCTCTCAGGCCGCGTGCCTCATTCCAGGTGGTCTACTGGCTCCTCCTGTCATCCTTTTCGTAGAAGGCTTTGGAACCTCATTTATGCTCCAGGTTCCCTGCCCCTGCCCTCCGTGAGCTGATTAGTATTGCTCTGACCCTCACTGGTCCTTATAAAGCTGAAGACTCCCAGTCCAGGCCTCTCTGGTCCAGCTCCACCCACAGTTCCTAGAGCGGGTACCCAAAAATAGCAATTCAGAAATAGCATGACCCTTGGTTTAGCATTGGGGGTCACTCTTGTAAGAAACTATGACCCAAGTGTTTTTCTTCCTTTTCAGTTGGCTGGTGTCTGGGAGAAAATTTGGGGGAAAGAACGGGGAGAGGGAGGATCACTCAGTGTTACTTGCTTTTATTTCATGCTAGTGTGCTAAGATGACTGGAAGCTTCGGGAGGGTAGAAACCTGGGCTTCTACCTCTGGAACTACTATGAAGACGAAAGTTTGGGTTTCTTAGCTGGGTTCTTCTGCCCTCACTTCAGCTCCTCCAAAGAATCATCCAGAGAAACAAATGTGAGAAATCACTAGAGAGAGCATGTGAACTGAACTCAAGGTGGGGTTGTGAGCTGTTAGGATTCAGCTCCCCGAGACAGAGATGTGAGCTGTCCTCTCACATTTCCCCGGGTTGAACCTCCCATCTCAACACTATTCTTGATTAGTGTGTAATTGCCGAAGTCAGAGTTTTTAAAGGATAATAATACTCATTAACTGAGCTCAGAGTCACATGTTTACTGCATTTCTTGTTAAGCAGCATTCAGGGCTGTAATTAACATCCCTAGTGCTGTGGACAGGAAGAAAACAAACGATCAACTCCTCTCTTAGGAGAAACTTCCCTCACTCATAGCTACTTTTGTCTTAGCTGGTGGCAGACAGAGGACTGGAAGTAATAATGAGGCTTCCTTGTTCTCCAGGGTCAAGGTCATTTGCTGATTGCAGAGAACACTGTGCTGGGTACCCTGGCCTGAGGTGTGGCAGTTTGGGCCCTGTAATGTGTCGCTTACCTGAGAAACAGCCCTCATCTTCACCATTACCCCCACTCCCTCTGCCCGTCTAGGGCCCTCCTGCTGAAAACAGAAAATTATTGCCCCAACCACTCTGCTTAAGGTTCCAATGTTAGATTGTTTGGGGGTTGGGGAGGTGGGGGTGTGCAGCAGGCAGGTTATATTACCTGATTAAAGGTATTGCTGTTCCCTGAAGGCAGATACATGCCACCGCCCAGCAGCAACTGCTCGGGGTAAGCCATGGGCTAAAGGGGAGGATGTGGGTTCCGTTCTAGTTCTCCCACTGCCTCTCATGGCCGTATGACTTTGAACAAGTCTTTTCCCCTCTCTGGATTCAGGTTTTTCGTCTTTTCATTCCATCACAATGAGGAGAGGAGTTCAGATTAGACATTAGATGATTTCCTGGATCCTTAACATCTACAACTGTTCTACTGGTGCAGGGAAGTCTAAGAAGAACAGGAAGTGATCTCTGTTCTCAAGCAGTAAATATTATATAGCAGGGTTTGGTAAATTTTTATGTGAGTCTTATTTTCCTAATGGCTTCCAATAAAACACTGAAAATTGTAGTGGGTTGAAGAGTGTCCCCCAAAATTCGCATACATCCGGAACCTCAGAACGTGACCTTACTTGGAAATAGGGTCTGTGCAGATAGGATTAAGATAACGATCGAGGGGCCGGCCCCGTGGCCGAGTGGTTAAGTTCACCCACTCCGCTTTGGTGGCCCAGGGTTTCACTGGTTCAGATCCTGGGCGCAGACATGGCACCCCTTGTCAGGCCATGCTGAGGCAGCATCCCACATGCCACAACTAGAAGGACTCACAACTGAAAATACACAACTAGGCACCGGGGGAATTTGGAGAGAAAAAGGAAAAGTAAAATCTTTAAAAATAAAAGGATCGAGCTGAGATCACTGGGTTAGGGTGTGCCTAAGTCCAATGAGAGTCCTTATGAGGTAGAAAAGGATGTACAGGGAAACACAGAGAAAAGGATATGAAGATGGAGGCAGAGATTGGAGTAATGTATCTACAACCAAGGAATGCCAGGAGCCACCAGAAGCTGGAAGAGGTAAGGAAAGATCTTCCCAGAGCCCTGGGGAGGAGCATGGCCCTGCTGACACCTTGATTTTGGACTTCTGGCTTCCAAAACTGAGAGAATGAGTTTCTGTTGCTTTAAAACCACCAAATTTTTGGTAATATGTTTTGGCAGCCCTAGCAAGCTAATACATGAGTACTCTGAGGAATTTTCAGATAACAATTTTTATAAAATCACATTTGAGATTTAAGAAAAATTTTTTCTTTTATGATAATATAAAGATGAGCTCTACTCACATAGTAGCACTAAGACTTATAAAAGCAAAATTAAAACTCAGAACCACCCTTGAATTGATTCTGCCTTCGAAAACCTGTCCCTTCTGGGACTAAAGCAGTAATCCCCAAAACTGCCCACCTGTTGTTGCTTTCTCCTGCCAATCTCAAACTGTCTCCATATTGTTAACTTTTACTCTAGGTCATCTTTTCATAGCGCAGATCGTAGAGTCTTAGGATGCTTTCCCATCCTGAATTTATTTGCCAATAACATATAGAGCTATCTGCAGTCCCCCTTGATAGCAGGAGATAATAAGAGACCTAGCTAAGCCCTGAGATACCTAAACTTGCTTTTCTATAGGATCTGCCTTGTACTTGCCTGGGCAGACCTGGAATTGCTAACCGGGATGTGAGAAGAATCCCCAAGGACCGAGGGTACATGAGTCATCAGATAAAGTCAGCATTAATTTTATTGTCCTAGGCTACTGGTTTATTTGGTGGTTGTGGTCTTTATCAGGAATGCTTAGCCTATCAAAATGGTATTCTTTGTGCTGAAAAATTATTGATTATATCCATTGACTTAGCAGTTTCACGTCTGGGAATTTTAGGCAATAGTCTAGGCATGCATGCAAAGACAGATGTATAAGGATGGTTATTCTGACATTAAATAGCAAGAAAAAAAAAAAAAACAACTGGAAGTACCCTATTAAAAAGGAAATGGTTAGGGGCTGGCCCCGTGGCCAAGTGGTTAAGTTCGCGCGCTCCGCTGCAGGTGGCCCAGTGTGTCGTCAGTTCGAATCCTGGGCGCAGACATGGCACTGCTCATCAAACCACGCTGAGGCAGCGTCCCACATGCCACAACTAGAAGGACCCACAACTAAGAATATGCAACTGTGTACCTGGGGGCTTTGGGGAGAAAAAGGAAAAAATTAAATCTTAAAAAATAAAAAAAGGAAATGGTTAAATGAAGACTTAAAATGTTCATGAGTCAATCCTACCACAAAAAGAGAGACCACCAGATGTTATGTGCCTCCTGGTGGGTTGCAATAGAAAGTTAACAGCATTACCTAAGAAGTATTCTTGCCAGGAGGTCAAACTTGATCTGAAGAAGCTTTCAAATCTATCAGTTGTCAGAGAACACAGTGGAAAGAGGGACATATCGATGGTATAATGGAAATGCAAACGACCAAATCAAAAATGTAGGGAAAATGACCTGTTTTTTCCAAAAAGTAAAGAGCAAGAAAAAGCTGTTACAGATTAAGGGAGTCTTGAGAGAGGCATATGAAGCAGATGTGATGTGTAGATGGTGTTTATATCCTGACTCAAAACAATGCAGCTGTAGAAAGATAATCAGGGAAAATTGAACACTGACTGGATATTAGATAATAGAAAAGAATTATTGTTACTTTTCCTAGGTGTAATAATGGT